CAACAAAATACAATTTATCTGTTTGTGCATTCTTCCTTTGAACACGTACCTCATAGTTGATTTAATGAAACTGTGCAGAAAAATGGTATTCGTAAAAGGCAGACTGTATTGGTCTCAGAATTCTTGAAATCTCTAGCTTCTTGCATTCGTTACGTCGATGTTAACTTTCCTAATACTGAATCACTATCTAGAGAAGTACCAATCTCGATCTTAGCGTTTAGGTTTTCCTGGACTGTTAAGATCTCTTTTTTTGAAATATATTTAATCACAGTCCTCAGCTGGTCATGAAATCGCTCCACATCATAATCGGTGAAGTCACAATTTTGGCATGCCTTTATAATTGCCACATTTGATGGCTCATCCTCAAGAAAGTCGAATATCACTCAAAGCAAAATGTTTCACTCCGTTAATATTTTTAGTTAGCCGGTTGCCTACAGTGATGTAGCACTGTACGCTCCAGTAGTAAAAGTGAACAGTTGCAACTTCACCTCTCACCTGGTATCCACTTCGGTTTTTCCAGTAATCCCCATGTGACTTCTACATGAGGTTTATGGCAACGTATGCCGGTTCAATCTTATATCGTTAAGTTACTCGTTTATTTAACGGCATTTAAAAGGCAATAGAACAAACCATGTGATGCCATTCTCTTTTCAGATCGTTAAACAGGACTTTTGTCTTTGTTTTACAGATCTTGGTTTTGTTTGTAAGGCACCTGATGTCCCCGTCACTGAATGATAAAACTTCACGCGGTGGCAGCACGATTTAGTAGCCAAACGGTCAACATTGGGCTACGCGCAATCGACGTCAGAATGACTGATCTTAAATAAAAAAAGACTTGGACAAGCGCCCTCTCAAACTTTTCATAAGAATTTAATCGGGATGAATGGGTAATGATAAAATATCGTCAACGACGATATACTTCATAGCAAAGCAGATATGCAGGTGTTCTAAACACAAAAAAATAGACGTAATTATGCACAGAAGTGAAAGATAGATAGGTAATAGCTGAATATGAATATCAGAAAAGTGTCCATGATTTCTACAGTTGCCGTCAGTAGCCGGTTTGAGAATTTTTGAAACGACGTATCGACCATTGCACAGGTAATGGGTAGCCTTCTGTTAATACTTTATTGTGTTCATGACATAATATATATTGTAATAGTTATGAAACCTTTCCCACAACGTTTGCTTTGTTAGTCCAACCGTTCCATATCTACGCTGAGCTGTTGATACTGTAAATACGATTAAATTGAGAATCGGTCGATTATGGAGTAAAAGCTTCCAAGATATGCTACCTCTCATGACATTTGATGACAATGCTGATGTTGTGTTTCTTCTTAATCATATGCTTGTTCTTAGTGTTCAATTACTGCTTCGATATTTCCTGTAACGCACGAGGAAACTGCACCAGCGAGCCTTCTGGCCCAGTGTGTAACTGTGTTTTTGGTTTCACTGGTCGTTTTTGTGAGAAAGGTATGTGAAAATTACTAATAATTACAGTAAACTAAGACTCTCACGATTGGCTTTCGCTGTTGATCTGCTGTTTGTATTTGTGCGAGCATGATATAATTAATATAATCTTGTGTTGTAATATGTCTGATACACCAATAAGCTTTGCGGCGTTAAAGTGCATTCCCATTTTCAGCACCCAGGTTAAACCAAGAAACATGCATTCGAAATGAGATTCAGATACATGTTTGCTTACTTCCCTCATCCAGTCACGTGATCATTCAGTTCCCCTTCATAAGACTAAAAAATAAGTTAAAAGACTCAAGCTGTACGAAATTGTGTAAGCGGTAGGAAAGGAAGTGGCAATGGTGCAGGGCATCGCAGTGTTAGTTTGCTCTCATTCGGACTTGTCCTCGTTGTGAGGGCGCTATTAACTCATGTCCTTCTATGTTCCTCTCCGCCTCCCTACTGTTTACAAAGTATTCTAGGACGACCAAGAAACCCAGTTCGTTGCTCCTGATGCCTACCGGTTGTTTCTACATGGCCTATCCATCTTTTCTTGCCATCATAAAAGGCAGAATTGCCTTCAGCCTGTCGCTCCTTGCGCGACCATCGTTTTGTTCCCTTCAGCCGTAATAGCAGGGCAAGTTTAAGTGCATAGATCATGGCAGATAGAATGGCTGAATCGAGCACTTCCTTTACCACCTAAATGGCAAAATCACAATCAAGTAATGAATTGTTTCCATGCGGATGCCGCCTTCATCATATTGCTGATTTTTCTAACGAGCGAGTTCATAGTGCACTCCATTTGGCAGCTGAGGTTGTCTAGAGACTTAATCCTCATCTTCACTATTCACCAAAATAAAATCATCTGGACAGTTCTCTTTCCGCATTCATCTGGTCTTGGAAAGTCTAACCTCCACTCAAATAGTTCCACATTACTGTAGCTGCTGAATCGTCTACTGGAGCTCAGCCATGTCTAGAGAAAACGGAATGCAGCGGTCATGTGTTTGTTGCTGTCAATCAAAATTGATACCGTTGCACCAGTTTAGCCAATGAAAGAATGATCTCAAAGCCGGTGAGAATAGCTTCGGTGAGCATATCTTCGTGTCTTCTTGGCACACTTCCTTACAGATACCGATGCGACATTGACTGTTAAACAGTCACAAGTCATTCGTGCAACCGATTTGCAATTTTTCGTCCAGGTTGAGGTAAACAGGATTTAAGCCACGGTCATGCAAGACGTTTAACTCAGATATGACTTGCAGAATTGAATGTATTATCCTCATGGAAATGCTCGATCTCTTGAAGTTCAGGTTAGTGGGTTAACCGTAGGGTTTGATCATTTCTATAGTTCTTTAGCTGTCCACCTGTAGAACAGGTCTGCGAAAAGGGGCAAAACAATATTGCAACTTCTTTTCCGTTGTGAGCAGATGTCAGTCTGAACTCAGTTCCTCAAAACCTTCCGCGAAAATACAAGAAGTATTTCCATGTCCATCTTTACTTCATCCAGTCCAACCGATTCAGAGAAGTAGAGCATTTTGTGAGGTTTTTGTCAAGGAGCGATATCACTGGCGAGTAACGGGGAACTATCGTATCAACCTACCAGAACAGAATTCGTTGCCCCTTTTGGGCCATCATTTTAGCAAAGGAAGTAGCAGGTAAAAGCCGTTCAAAACTCAGCTTATTCGATTTTAACTAAAAGGATGCATTGTTAAGAATGTCCGTCTAATATTTAAGAAATTTATTTTACCTCGTGCTCCTACGCGTGGAATTCATAAAGAGATATATACTTATTATAAATGTTTTCACTGAATTGATATAAATTACTTACGAAAATTGAGGTTCGATGTAAGGTAAGTAGACGACTCATCCTATATTGGCTAAAGATTTTTTTTACCTTCCGTTGCACTCTAAACAGCAATCATTTGATGCACAACATTTTGTCTATTTACGTTATTACGCGGTTATTGAATGAAATTCACTACATTTACACAGATGTGGACCTCTGTTACGGTGTAACGTGCAACGACCATGGAACTTGCATGGACCTGACACTGCATTACAGATGCATATGCGAGGTCGGCTATACCGGTATCCTGTGCGAAAATAGTACGTGATTAATCGACACGTTAAACAGGTCATTGATTGACAGCAACTTAATGGCTATAAAGTCGCTGTAAACGATTATTTTCCTGCATAGTTTAACAACATACATTTGTGGGCATTGCATTGAGGTTGGCAACAAAGTTTTATTGCGCATGAGGCACAATGCTAGAAATGACGCTCATGGACGAAGAACTAAATGTTTCGAGGAAACGTCTCTCGCTCGCTATTAAACGGAAATGAGCTTAGACTTTATTC